GCGACATCGGGACCGCGCGGCCTCCACTGGTGCTGGGCTGGGGAGGGCCGCGGCGACCGCGTCCCCTCTGGTGCCGGGCTGCGGAGGCGCCCCGTCAACGGCGCCGAGCTGAGAGCCGCCGACGCTGCGGGTCTGAGCACAGGATGGCGGGGAGCGCGTCCGGCGCCGCCGTCGGTCGCCCGCGGTCTGAGGCGCGCGTGCTGCGCTGCCACACACCGCTGCTGATTAATCCCGCTGTTCGCCTGTACCGACTCTTAAGCTGCCGCTCTAACATTGACAATGAGCGTACATGAACGGCGGTGATCGCGACGTTGCAGCCCACCCCGTAAACATGTGGGAAATTATTATTAACGACCAGCGCCACCGGTCTCCACCTTAATTTGCGTGCTGACGAATATGAAATGGGCCTTCATCGTCGGGTGAGTTGGCAACATACTGTGACTCATATCCACGCTGCCACGCGTCACGCTGTGTGCCTGTAACCGCACCACACCGCGCTTGAACGCAGGTGGTTTGGCAGTTCAAGTGATGGCACGTCGGTGTCGACGCTACTCCTGTGCGGGATCTGGGGACGCGGGTCTGTGCAGGGATCGGGGCCATTCCACGAGCGGTCTCAATCCTCTGGTGGCAACAGGATGGAAAGTGCCGCCCCAAATTGGACACTCGTGCAGTACCGTCGAGCCCAATATGAACGTCTATGACCTTCGCAGTCAGTAAGCCACAGATGTGAGACAGGTTACCGTAAGCACAGTTACCACCTATCTCAGACACCAAAAATATACTGGATTTATCATACTGCACGAGTGAAAAATACTCCCTGTGTTGTGGCCAAGATTTGCATGCTTTTTCACACACAAAAGCAATACAACTTGTCATTTTTAAGATATGCAACTCGCGGTTGAAAAAAAAAACAATGGCTTGATTCCTCGACTCCCGTAGTACGCGACTATGGCTACGACTGGGGCTGGAGAGGTCCCATGCTCGAACACGAACACGGACCCCGCCTGCGCCTGAGTTGGGACGGCGTGTGGCGCGGCCAGCGCATAGGCGGCCGTAGCACAGTGGTGGCCACAGTTGTAGCGCGCCCACATGGCCACACATTCCGCGCGCTTCATGGCCACACATGCCGCGCGCTTACGTGGCCACACATGCCGCGCGCTTACATGGCCACACATGCCACGCGCTTACGTGGCCACACATAAGGCATATGACGCCGCCTGGTAATCATGGCGAAGCTCCTCGTCTGATTGTTGGCATCTACCCAGGCAGCTCTGCTGTAAGTACAACATACCGCATACATGTACGTGCCGCCGGTAGCATCTGGCGTGACTGCCCCGACAGTCACAAAACGCTCATGAGCTGGAACGAGCCGGATTACTGCATAACATCTTTATTGTCTGTTTATCGTCGCAGAGATAATCCGGACAGCCAATGCTGCGATCACGACGAATAAAAACTCGGACACAAATTAACATGGCTTTCGCCGTTGGGAGTTCCATGGTACTGCCGCACAGGGAGCGGAACTAGTGAATGCCAACGCAGAACTGTTTTGATACAAATTTACATTTGCAGCGTCAAGGCCTATTGCCCCATAAGTCCCCAAAAAACTGTCCGCGGTAGAAACAACAGCATCCAATCGTTTCCATGCGAACACCGCAACAACGGACTACAGTGTGACGGAAGACAAAAACAGAAACAAAAACTACATGAGACAAAAAGAAAGGCACTTCCGCTGTGAGCCATCGCATGACACTGGCATGCCGTCATTAACGAGCGCCCAAACCAATTGCCAGCATAGCTGGTGTGCGGCTTAACCTGAGGGGCAGATATTGTTGGCCTGTATTATGCGTCATGATATTACGGTGGAGAGGTCCTTCGACGCACGCCACGCATTCCTGGCACAGGGCATGCCTTACAAACGCCCTATCACAGATCACTCGTAACTCCTAATATTACCGAATGTTCTAGAACCACAATACCTGCATCTCAGCCGAAGCCCGCGCAATTGTCTGCACCAGATAAGGTCTGGCTGAAACTGCATTCACAAAACTGGACCCGGTACGCTGACCAATGTAGAATCCATTAAAACACCTCTCCTTGTCGCAGCGGGACATCCACTTCCCACCCCTGCTCCTCACTCCACCTGAGTTCACAGGCCCGCCCAGCCTCACCCCTTGGAGCTTAGAACACTGTCACTGCGTCGCATCTCACTCAGAGCGCCACTCCCGACAGATTCGCGCCATCACGGCTGGTTCGCGCCATCACGGCCGGTTCGCGCCATCACGGCTGGTTCGCGCCATCACGGCCGGTTCGCGCCATCACGGCTGGTTCGCGCCATCGTGGCTGGTTCGCGCGATCACGGCTGGTTCGCACCACCACGGCCGGTTCGCGCCACCACGGCCGGTTCGCGCCATCGCTCGCTCCGACACGAGCCGCTCGCCACACCATGGCAGCTTCGCCCCACCACTACGGGTTCGCCCCACACGTTTGCCACGCCACGAGAGCTTTCCCAGTGCCGGGATGCTCGCCCCAACACGGCTGGTTCTTCACACGGCCTTCGGTCGGTCATCGACCCGGCTCAAACTCATCCAGGTCCCCGCCAGCCTCGCCGGCCAGGTCCTCATCATCCAGCTCCTCCGACATCCCGCCCAGGGCGTCCTGGCGACAGACACACGGGTCAGCATCTCGCCCAGGGCGATGTTAGGGCAGGGTCAGGACCAGCCCATCAAGCCACCACAGCGATGGCACCACTGCTCTCGCCGCCGTCATCCAGATTTCCGAATGCGCACTCACCAGCCATCCTATAGGCAGTCTGCTCTTGCACGAAGGTTGCTGGTGAAGGGGTTTAATTTAGCCGTGATCGAGAAGCCAGAATGCAATTTGACCGGTCGGTCGCTGACATCAGCAGCGTCTCCCCTCACGCTCACCGTCGCCCCCGATAAATAACAAGGCTCGCACCTCCCGTGCTGTGGTTGGATGTCCAGCATTCGCGGGACTACGCAGCCCACAAGGTCTACCAGCACGCCTCGGGCCGGCACAGACGCGGCAGATGTGGGGAATCCACGTGATGACCATGGGCGTTGCATGTATATGGAGAAAGTGATGGGCAGACGAGACGGTGGGCAGGATGGGCAGATGGGCAGACGCTTCGGCGAGATTTCAAGAATTGCCTGATTCTTCGGCGAGATTTCAAGAATTGCCTGATTCGACTTTCGCTAGAAAGAACACCACTTAAATAAACATCACTACTAGACCAAAATAACGCCTAAGCACAATAAGCATATAGCCCATATTCTCCAATGATGCACTGAAGCACAACAACTTCTGCGAGAGTAGGCCAAAATACTTTCGCAACTTTAAAACAATACGTAGCCCTTGAGTCATGTCGTAATGCTACTAACCGAGCTCCATAACCGCTACTAGCACTGTGCTTTCCAGAGAGCAACCATACCGCGGGAAGTCATAGCAGGTGAAAAGCCGATATGCACGAACGGTGCTTCATATGCCCCAACTATATTTTCAACCACAGCATCACTCAGCATCATGGAATCGTCAACACTGGGAAAGGAAGCAATACAATGTTGATGAAACAGTCCGATGATATGCCACAGAATGGTTGAAATTTTCGGTTGACAAGCTAGGTTTTAGCAAAGCCAGCCAAGGTCATTCACCAGCAGAAAGCAATGGCTTGACAAAGGCAAAACCCTCAGCATTGGTGTTACAGGCGGTGAAGCCGCAGCAATATGAACAACTCGCAGCTGCATAAGACCACCCCGCCGTAACCCAACAACAGCTGCACAAGACCACCCCGCCCCCGACCCCCAACAACAGCTGCACAAGACCACCCCGCCGCAACCCAACAACAGCTGCACAAGACCACCCCGCCGCGACCCAACAACAGCCTGCACAAGACCACCCCGCCGCAACCCAACAACAGCTGCACAAGGCCACCTCGCCCCGACCCAACAACAGCTGCACAAGACCACCCCGCCGCAACCCCAACAACAGCTGCACAAGACCACCTCGCCCCCGACCCCAACAACAGCTGCACAAGACCACCTCGCCGCAACCCAACAACAGCTGCACGAGACCACCCTCGCCGCGACCCAACAACAGCTGCACAAGACCACCCCGCCCCCGACCCAACAACAGCTGCACAAGACCACCTCGCCTCGACCCAACAACAGCTGCACAAGACCACCTCGCCGTAACCCAACAACAGCTGCACAAGACCACCTCGCCGCAACCCAACAACAGCTGCACGAGACCACCTCGTCGCGACCCAACAACAGCTGCACAAGACCACCCCGCCGCAACCCAACAGCAGCTGCACCAAGACCACCTCGCCCCCGACCCAACAACAGCTGCACAAGACCACCCCGCCGCAACCCAACAGCAGCTGCACAAGACCACCTCGCCCCGACCCAACAACAGCTGCCACAAGACCACCTCGCCGTAACCCAACAACAGCTGCACAAGACCACCCCCGCCCCGACCCAACAAACAGCTGCACAAGACCACCTCGCCCCCGACCCAACAACAGCTGCACAAGACCACCCCGCCCCGACCCAACAACAGCTGCACAAGACCACCTCGCCCCGACCCAACAACAGCTGCACAAGACCACCTCGCCCCGACCCAACAACAGCTGCACAAGACCACCTCGCCGTAACCCAACAACAGCTGCACAAGACCACCTCGCCGCAACCCAACAACAGCTGCACAAGACCACCTCGCGGCAACCCAACAACAGCTGCACGAGACCACCTCGCTGCGACCCAACAACATGTGCTCCGCGCATTGTTCAGCGATCAGCCCGGTGAGATGACGTCACGCGCAGTGACTGACGTCACACCTAACCCAGTGCGACAATTTGAGTTTCCGTCGCCTCCGCTGCCACTCCGCCCGCCGGCCGGCAGTACTGTCTCACCTGCTGGACGGCGTTGTGGAACGAGCAGGCCGAGTACTCTGGCCACGAGGCGAACTCCAGGAAGAGGCGTAGCAGCTCGGCCGGGGTGAGGTCCCGGAACGGCGAGAACACGCCGTGACCGAGCGCGATCAGACGCGGACCGCAGCCGGGCACCCACTCCCTGACAGCGGGGCGCGGACGCGTCATGTGGACGCACGGGCACGCACACACGCGCGCACACGCACGCACGCACGCACGCACGCACGCACACACGCACGCACGCACGCACGCACGCACCACAAAAAAAAACACACACACACACACGCCACACACGCACGCACGCACGCACGCACGCACACACACACAAGCACACATACCACACCCACCCACACCCACACCCACACCCACACACACACACACAAGCCGTCAGCAGGGGAGCGGCGGGTGATGGGGACACACACTCCCTCTCAAGGGTACAGATGACCCCGTGCACGCCTTTGCCTGTAAGGAGTTCAGGTGAACAAAAGACGTTCTCCTTTCTCCCAGGGGCAGATGTTCCCCTAAGGACCACAGGCAGCCAATCCCTCACTGGCAGCGGACGGGGTTATCACGGAGATTGCGGGCGGCAACCAGGTACAAGTGGAAGCGCGTATATCTATCATTACTGGAAACACATGGAGAACATATTGACGGGAGTCATGAACACATAGAGCCTAAAACAGGCTGACTCACTCATACAAACGGTACGTAAATACTTCCCAGAGTATACATCACGTTGGGAAGTCTCTAAGCATACAGCCTCATACCAGTTAACCACAACGGAATCCGTAACCGAGATTAAACCGAGAAGCGCATCAGCATGCAATGTCGTAACAAGTACAACATAAAACACGTGAACTTACGCAGAAACATGCGATTTCAATCAAGCATGAGCATGCATTACACAGACAGCCAGTAAACTTCCTGCCGCTATCACAACCTCATTCAGTCCGGCTCCAGCTCCTCCCCGGCTTCTAGACAGGCAAACGTCCTGTCCGAGATCAAAGCACTCAGACGACTGAATCTAACTTCTCTCACAAAAGCCGAACTCCATTGGAATACGTGTGCGAATCCAGAACCCTTGCTTCTACATAATGTCGTAAATATTGAACGACACTAATTAACTTCACTAAATAAACACATCTTAATAGAATAGCTCATGCATAGGTCGGTTAGAGCTTCAGTCGCGCATGACAAAGACTCGCCGACGGCGCCTGGAAAGTCTCCAGTGACCTGGCGCCCGCCCATCACACACCGACTCAAGCCGCACTGCTCAGGCACTCACTCAAGCTGCGGGACGATACGCCTCCTCTTCGAGACGGTGCAGTGGCGGATGAAGAAGTCGAGGTTGGGCAGCTCCGAGTCCGGCAGGCCGGGGTCCACCTTGGGCGTGTACCGGATCAGCACCATGTCCATGTCGGTGAAGGACACCTGAGGCCCACCAGCCGGTCAGACGGCGGCGACGGCACGCGGCAGGGCGGCAGTCAGTCCACGCGGCAGAGAGCGGCTGGGCATCGCCACGGCGACCACGCGGCCGGCTCCAATCATCGGCGCGCACGCGACGTGTCAGGCCAGCACACCTCTTGCGGCAGTCGCAGCCGCAGCCGTCGCAGTACTGACCCGCTTGCGCGCCATCATCCAGGGGTAGAAGTGTTTGGCCGGGACCCGGCGCAGCAGCTCCAGGTCGAAAAAAAATCTGGCTGAGGATGCTGTACGGCCGGTACGCCCGGCCGCTCATGTCAGGGGACGAGGTCAGCCTCTGTTGAGAGAGACGACGCACAATTAGTCAGCGCTGGCACACCACGGCGGTACTGAGGCTGCCAACACCACAAGGGCGACGACGGAATTCTAACATCAGCTACAGAAGCCGGGACCAGCCAAAGTAATAAATACCAGGTAGAACGAAGTTAGTAAAAAAAAACTCCAGTATCAAACTAGAAATACACTAGATATGCGGTGTATACTAGATTCCTAGTTTAAACTAAATTATTCGGCAGCCGGTGACTTAAGGTAGCATGAAAGTGCCACACTGAATGTATCCCAAATCTGAATGAATGTCGTGCCCAGACTTTTGCAAGAAGCCCTCAAGGAGCCTGCACACCAAATTTTACTGACAGCATGTATTGGCTGATGGCTAACAAATAAGCATATTCTATGGAAAACAGGTTGAAAACCTCCGAAACGCTCCACCTTCGAACACACGACCTTCTGATCAAGTAGCCAGCGCGTTACCGTTTGAGCTACGGAAACATCGTATTCACCGCGAATGTCGGAAAATTCACGGAGCACCGTTCACGAAAAATTTGACCTGGTACGTCGTAAGAGCCTAGCGTCTCCAGACAAAAAAAAGTCAACGGAATGGCGTAGAGCAACTGAACAACCTTTCTTTGGTGCCAGATTCATCGAAACTGGCCGGACAGAACTCGATTAATAGCTCTGTGACCGGCCTTTTACACGCGAACCCAACCGACTGGTAGTAACAGTACGCCGCAGAGCGGTTGTGCTGCCAACGTACTTCAGTGGGGCCGGGGACCAGCCCCAACACTTATGCACCGTTTGGCAGACATCTTCCCGTATTGCACGGTGACCGACGTTCAAAACGCAGCCGAGCGACGCCTCCTCCACTGCTGGCATGCTTGCCTCACTGACGGCGGCTACAGGTCCGATTTACAGCTGGTACCACGGTGTGACCAGCTGCATTCTAACACACGAATCGAAGGAGCGCTCTTCCAGTCATGTTCTTGTCGACGCATTCGCCGCTACGTCAACGCCGCCGCCACCTCCTGCGCCACCGGTCATGGCGGCGTCAGTGAAATATGTCCGGAGCGCGTGGGATTCGATCCCGGGTCCTTCAACACAAAGTCGGACAAAGGCATCCTCACGGCGGGTATCCCCCCCCCCCCCCCCCCCCCACAAGGCTCACCTCGACCTCGGAGCTGGGCACATACACGACCAGTTCGGGTCGGCCGAACTGGAACAGGTGCTCTCGCTCCACCACCGTGCGCACCAGGTAGCGGAAGAACGTGCTGCGGTGTGCCACGCCCACCACGCGCAGGCAGGGCCCTATGGGACCGGGCCGGCAGTTAGCGGGGCGGGGATCGAGGGTCATGGCTCCAACGCAGCAGGTCCGGGACGAGTTCATGTTCACCTACCCTCGCCGGCTGCTGCGACCAGCCATCGCACGTCGAATAGAGCCGTCTTTGAACACACAAAGGTCGTGAGGGTTGTGGACAGACGTGAGCAAATGCACTGCATGTCTTCCAAGCATATTTGCTGCCTCACTGTCTCCCCACACCTATCAGAAACTCGACCACCAAGCTATAACTCGACTTGCAAGCTCCGACGGACGATCTCGTCCGCGCTCCATCTCACACAAGCCCTCTCCCACCCTTCCCGACGACACCAGGGCTGACCACGACTAGTTCCCCCCCCCTCCCCCCTCCCCCTCGTCACTGACCCTGGTGCCAGGGGCGCCAGCTTAGGCCATCCAGTGCCTGCTGCAGCCGCGCCTCTTGGCCGTGCGTCGCCGCGCCCCACATCTTGGGCAGTTGGAGCAAGTTGAGCGGTGTCAGTCGGACAGCGCCGCCCGTCTCCTCCTGCAGCTCCTGCCGGCACCGGGTTGTCGCCGTCGGCTGACTGACCATTATCAGCTGTCAGTTGACCAGTTGCGGTGTCAGCCAGTAGCAGGTTGTCACTGCAACCGCCCCCTGCCTCCTCCACGCGTCAAGGCGAGACGACCGTAAGTCTCAGACCAGCCAGCAGACACATGACTGGTGATATGATCTACCCTCGGGGTGGCAGGACCCAAAGTCCTGCCACTGGGTACCATACACTGAATGTGTACCACACGCCTAACGAAACGCTTCGATATCCCGGCCCCTCCAGGCTCTTCAGATCCCCGCCGCGCGCCTGTCCCAGTAGCCGCACATAACCCACCAGCACGCTGCTGCGGAAGGCGGCGGCCGGCTCGAAGCACGTGATGTGACGCACGCCGGCGCTCAGCAGGCGGCGGGTCAGCACGCCCGGGCCCGGGCCCAGCTCCAGGTGCGGCACATGGTGCTCGCCCGGGTCCAGGCTCTGCACGAGCCGGTCTGGGGACGGACCACGGCACCAGCGTCACCAGCGGCACGGCCGGACGCGACGGCGGGCGGCGCTCACGACCACTCGAGTTGGAAACGGACGCCACGCTGACCCGACAGGCAACAATTGTACATGAAGGTTGAGACTGAAGTACTGAGCATCTAAATCGGATTCGACGGAAAGCGATTTAAATCACAAGCATAGTATTACGATCGCGTAACCACGCCGCAACAATTTGCAAACGACCTTTTCCTGACATGTAAAAAGTAACAACATGACTATGATGCTTTTCACCTTAGCTGTGATCACTTTTCTGGTTCACCACTTTCATTAAGCAGGCAGAATGCTAGTTGGATGTAAGGTGTCATTTACCAGGCATAGATGCAATGCTCAGACAGCCCCAAAGAAGACATGACCTTTGGCGTCTGCCTCGATCTCACTAGACCCAGTCCTCTACATTCCTTCACCCATACTTATGATCCAAAGATGGCTTACACCTGAAAATTTTTTATCCAATCTTCACCTTCTCATCGCATCTCATCCCGCCCGATAGTCCTGTCACACCCCACCTGTGCATTGCTCACGGCTTGCTGGTCATCGTAATTATATTTACAATTTCAAATACAATATAACAATCATAAACTACCAGAAACAGTGCTCACCAGCTATGGCATTGTTGATGATGTACATCATCCCTGGGTCCTGCTTCCGGCAATTCAGTTGATCACTATACTGATGCAATATATCTTGCACAGCCCTTGGCTCTTGGGAGACATGATCAGCTAGAATTTCTTTTTTGTTTTCTTCTTATAAGTCCGCTTTGCCTTTTTTCCATCTTCTTTGGCTGGACTGTCATAGCCATCATGTTCATCACAATGTTGCTGTTCATCACACTTTTCCTCTTGGTTTTCAAATGCTTTAGTAGCATTTTTAACTTTCTCTGGAGCAGCAGCTTGTGTAGAGCATGCCCTTTTCATTACAAGGCTGACACAGTATGATACCCTGGATGGGTATGCATTATGGCTGAACATTTGGCACATCAGCTTCTGAGAGTGAGAGAACATCATCTGTCAATACAGATTGTCAGTTCAACTGCACTTTTTGTTTATTCTTGACAACAAATGTAACAAGCAAACTAATTTTTGTCTGGACTGCATGTATTGTCAGGAAGTATTAGGTAGCTTCAGGACATGCCAATGCTATATATCTGTCCTGAAAGCTTGGTTGGTTTAGAGCATCCTGCCTTCCAATCCACCCACCTGTGGTGGACTGGGTTCAAGTCACTTTGGGCACTTGTTAGCTGCCTTTGACTGATATGTCCTCAGGGCAGTGGCAGTGGTCATGCAAATGGTTCCAGTGGCATCAGGGGGCAGGACAGACTGTGCCCAGAATTGTGGCACATTAAAATTTTGTTATCAAACTCTGCTGTTCATTTGAAATTTCATGATCGGATGGCAGTGGTCAGGGTTGCGCATAACAAGCACTGTCTAGTGTGAGCAATCCAGCTGCAAGCCAGCCTCAGCAATCCATCCATTCAAAACAAAAACAAAAATTAAATCACAAGAATGTATAGAGCAGTACTATGCACTTCACAGCACCCACAGGCCAGAGCTGCAAATGCACACTAATGGCAATGTCAGGAGAATCACAGAGCTATTAAACATATGATATAACCTTCCATCAACTCTTTCTTTTAGCTTGCACAGTACCAAATGGGCCATTTCAAGGTAAATTAAATTAGCCTAGGGTTTTCAATGACAGCACTGCACACTATAGCAGTCTCTGGTCCTCACTGCTCCAGGAGATGCTGGCAAGTAGACAAGATATTCAAAGTGCTATCAAGAAGACTTGATGCTTCAAATGAAAAACATAACTTTCAGATCAAGGTGGAAAATGGCATGCACATGCAAATGGTTTAGAATCTTCCATTGATCCCCCATGACTGAGCTTGTGATCCATTAAAACTAAATGCTCATACACAGAATTCAGCCAAAAATTTGCCCATGAACATACCACATTATATTTGCACCAACTCATTTTTAGCTTCTCAGGCCAGGTGCTGGATCACATATGAGCCTTTGCTATGACAATAACAAAAATAAAGATGCCCATGACCAGTGATGTATCACGTTTTCCACACCTCAATTTAGTTCCCAATAGCTATCTGTTGGAGATGGTGCCCAGTTCTTGAACCATGAAGCAGCCAGGAACCAGAATTAATGCAAAATGATCCAGCGCATCAGAAGTTCAGAAAGAACCAGTTTCCACCCTAGCATTTTCTAAAAAAAAATACTGCAAGAATTAAGACCGTGCCTAAAATTATGGTGACGGATTCAGCATGCACCAACATGTGGCATGAAGTTATTGGATGGTTTCAAAACGAGGCCCAGGATCCAGGAGGTCTACCATGTTTAAGCACTAGTACACGACCAAAAGGCACACGAGAAAAGACGGAAATTTCGTTGTTACCTTCTTGAGTAATTGACGCATATTCCCCGAGCTTGTTAAAACGCTGTGAACCAAAATAGGCCGAAGAGCTTGAGCCATTATCCCCACATACGCGGTCCAGGGCGCAACTTATGTGCTTGCGCGCTTATTTTGTCATCAATGCTCAATTCATGCGCGTGTGAGACAGATATAGAAAAGCACGTGCAGCTAAATCGGACCGACCCTACCAAATGCAGCAATCCGCTCTCTCAACGATCTTTCTCCGCAGCGGTTGCGGGCCCGGGACATCTGGCTATCTGGGGATTCAAAGCAGTCAGTGCAACAGTGTATCCGCATCTGAGATTGGAGGTTATCAATCGTCATTACAGGTGTTAGACTGGAATCGAGGGGGCAGCTGACTTGAAAATTCAACAGGAAAATGTAGAAAGTGTGCGTTCCCCTGGCAAACACGCAAGTTTGAAATGTCCCTTTTTTGAAAATTGAGGGGATTTGTTCTCCCCACCCACATCTCCACCCTCAATGGTTTCAATCATTTTGGTATCGTTTACCTACAAGCACTATAAATTTTGATATATAAGAAAAGGTTCTGATGCGTGCCACCCTCACATATGTCTTGCTGTGAATACCAATACATTATCTTGGGCAAACCCGGAATGGCCGGCCCCTCACCTACGGATGAGCGTTTTAACATTGGGAGAGGGATGGGGTTGTGTCAGAAACTATGGAACAATCCAGCAGTGAATGGATGCTACTGCGTGGCATAGATAAGGCATGCAAAAACCAGCTGGCGGCGGCCATTTTTAGAGTGCTGCCAAATATCTGCGTGGGTTCCACACGCGCTTCACGGGACGGACGTACCGGGGGGGGGGGGGGGGGGGGACTAGAGCCATTGCCTACACGAGCCACGATGTTTTTGCTAGAGATACAGAGTAATTTCGCAGGAATTCCATTCCAAGTGCCAGGAATTCAAACAAATGGCTTTTGCCCTTCCATTGAGGAAAAGTTGGCATTTGCCTGCTTCGCGGCGCCTGAATATTTCACCCCGAATGTCACATTTCCAAATTTGGGATCTGTTACAAAATGTTATTTCCGAGGCATGCATGCAGGGTTACCCGGCACTAAGGTTTTGATCCTTGTGATAATGGCGTACCTTTCGCTACGTGGACATCACGTACATAAGGTAAGAGATGGCACGGTTTTGATGCCGTGGTGTAAGCGTTGCTAGTCTCATCTTCCCTAAATTATCAACACGAACCAGTAGGCGCACAACGCATGCTGGGTGTTACACCACTGGCCGGACTATTAGGCGGCCAAACTTTGTCGAGCGTATCTTATCTATGTATGTCGAGTAAGCATGTCGGGCGTATCCTTGTGACCACACCTGTCGAGTATATATTAAGCTTCGGAACCCCGGCCAGAGTTCTGAGGCCAGCCCCACGCGGACGCCGAGCTACAGCTCCGCCCCCCCCCCTCCCCCCAAACGGCTACTTTTGGGTAATTAAACGACGCATTCGACTATTCTTTGTCATTCATCAACGACATAACCCACCGATCTCTCTGATGACCACTCACAGACGTGGCCAACGACGAAACATCAGGTCGGTGCGAGGCTCGCACCCATGAGTTATGGGCGGCCAGCCCTCCAAGCCGCAAGCCACGCTACGTTGTCCCTGTACGGCGAAATTCCGCTGAAAATGACCTGTTTCCCGTCGCTGGTTGTGCCAATAGCTTGCTTCCAAACACAAACACCTCCTTCGGAATCGAAACTTATATTAAACTACTGATTCGGATCCATCAAGCGGCAACTAAACAGAACGTGAACCAGTCGTGAAGGATAGAACAGCCGACCGAAGTGTACACCGACGTACCCAGAGGACAGCTCGGCGTGGCTCAACGCCGGATGAGGTGCCGCGTCGCCCCCGCCCGTGCGGCGACCGATCGTCCATTATCGAACTCATGCAACTGAATTCCCGCGGCGAGCCTGGGCCTGCACGCCCATTCGCTGCGCCGCGTTGCGTCGCGTCGTGTGGCGTCGCGTCACGTCACGTCGCGTCATGTCACGTCACGCCACGCTCCTCGCGACGCGCGTCACGCTCCCAGCACGTGGTCGCGCCCCTCGCGCGCGCGCGCTGGCGCGCCGCGGCCGCGCGCCCCACCCGGAGGCCGCTCGGCGTACAAAAAATATGGGCCGTCCGGGCGGTGGGCCGTCTGGCGCCGCACAGGTCACAAGAGCCAAGGATGGCGCAGGCAGGTGGCCGCCGAGGCGCGCCGCTCCGGGTCGAACTGCAGCATCGGCAGCAGGAAGTCGGCGAAGGCGACCGCATCGGCCTCAGGCCACTCGTACTTCTCCTGCAGCACTTCGTGCAGCGACCACGGCTTCAGCTTGGTGATGTGGCGCAGCTCGCCTGCCGGACGGGGTGGGATCAGCGGCGGGTCACGGCGGGTCACTGGTCCGGTGCCGGCGGGGGATCGGAGGTAACAGGAGTCGAAGGAGGTTACCGAGGCGTCAGAAGATCGGCGCCAAGGAAGGAGGGGAGACGAAATTACGGATCGCACGAACAAACCAATTGGGACAGGTGAGACCAAGACGGCCGAAGAGGCAGTACTACATGGCAACAAAGGCGTGCAAGTCAACGAATAATATTCACGTCAAATCACCAACACTTAATTGTTTCTGTCTTAAGTGCTCGCGCCGAAACGGGGAAAAAAAACTCAAAAACGGCACACGTCAGCACGAGCACCAACCGCTGTTCTCCACCGACCGCACTGCACCCACCTTTCTTGTTGAAGAAGTCGCGCGAGTATTTGCCATTGAACATGATCTTCCTGGGTATGTCGCCCATGAGCTCGATGATGTGCGCGATGTGGTCCTCATCGCGGCTGTAGTTGTTGCCAGTGTGCGGCTCGAACAGGTAGTCGCCGGTGGCCAGCTCGAACGCCATGCAGGCCGTCGACCAGATGTCGGCCGGCGGCCCGTAGCCGGCGCCCAGCAGCACCTCCAGACAGCGGTACTGGCGCGTCTGGATGTCCTCCGTGAAGTGGTGGTTCTGCCGGCAGAGGCGGGGCGGGCGGGTCAGCGCAGTGTCGGAGCGGCGCCGGTACTGTGCACGAGCAGCGGTCGCCCTCGCCCTCGCAGCCGAGGAGACGGCGGCAGGCACGACTGTGTAATAACATGACGGAGGGCCCGAGCCAGCTCGGATCGGGGCGGCGCCGGTACTGTGCACAAGCGGCGGTCGGCCTCGCCGCCGAGGAGACGGCGGTAGGCACGGGCCGATGCTGCGGCGCGCGGCACGATTGTGTAATAGCATGATGGAGAGGGCCAGAGCCAGCTTGGACCTATCACAAGCGTAACGCGTCGGCCTGAAAACATTAACACCTTCTTACTGGTCAACAAAATAAACTATGACGACACAAGTTTTCCAAGGGAATGGTTTGGAGCTGAAACTGGCGACAGGGTTATTCACGCCACCAACGTTACCCAACTGAAAACACCGAAACTGAAGACTAGCACCCAGAGCGGGCCCATCGTGAGCGCCCGACTCACCGTCCAGCAGGCGTTGCCCAGGTCAGCGATCTTCACCTTCATTTCGCACACCTCGTGCACGGGATCGGGCTTCTTGGCGGGCGCGGTGCCGCCAGCGCTGGGCGGCGCGGCGTCTGCGGACGGCGACCAGCGGTCAGCGGGGTTCGCGTGCCGGCTGGGGGAGCTCGCGAGAGGCCGGAGCGAGCGGACGGCCACGCCACCCGTTCGGCACGGCATCAAGCACAACACGGCTGCTCTCGTCCGTACAGGACGGACGGGAATTGTATGCAAGTGGCTCGCAGGACAGACTGCCGACACGGCCGAGCACAGAACAGCGGGCACAGCATTACGGAAGGATGGAGGCCATGCATCAATCTCGGGATGGGATAATTGTTCGAACTATCTTCCCCGTCTGCTGTCTTAGTCATTGCTCGTACACTACACACTAATACAGCAGACGAGGATGGCAGAACCATCATTCCGCCCGTGAGAACAATGGCGTCGCGAAACACAACGCAGAGAGTCGCATCACGCAGAGAGTCGCATCACCAACAACGCGTAGGGATCACCGACAAACTCCCTCTGCCAAGATTATGGCGTGCGCGGTGCGTCGGTCGCGGCCCAGCAGCAGAGGTAGCTCGTGAGGAGCACGGCCGCGGCGACCCAGCTTTCCGCCGGCCACCAGAAGGCCGTACCTCGGTCCAGGACCACTTCGCCGGGCGAGCCGGGCGGGCCGCCCCACGGGCCGCACGACGGAGACATGGGAACGGGCACGGACGGGAGGTCCAGGTCACTGTCGTCGTCTGGGGACACGGGCCGGCTGCACGTCACGCTCGCCCCGCCCGCCGCTGCACCGCGTCGGGATACGGAGGACCGGGCGGCGGGCGTCGCAGGCACTCAGCAACACGATGAGTCGCGTGCCGTCCCCCGCCACGGCGCCGGGCGCATCCCCCGCCGCTCCATCACGAGAGGGGCATCCCGGCCGCCCGGGCCCCGGACGGTACCCACCGCTAGGTAGCGCCGCCCCTGTCCACACCCGGAGGCCAGCCATGCGTCTGCCTCGCGACCGCAGGCGGCAGCTCTGTCCGCTGTTAGTCGCGGTGCGCCGACGTCCCCCAAGCCCGCCACGCTTCGACGCTACCTCAGGGTTCGAACTGGTGAGTTCGATACGCACTGGCGCCGCCGTTATCAGGCGCCCGGTTCCAGCCAGCAGGACAAATTGCGACGCTGCCGCCCGTGGCAGCAGCAGCTGTGCGGCTCACAACAGAGTCGAGGGACACCAGTGCCATCCATCGGCTCCAGCGGAAAAGCACTACGCCAGCTGCTCCCTCGCACTTCTGCGGCCCCTCCTACACAGGAGGGGTCTATCCTCACTCCAACCCGCAGGCTGCCCCCGCGCCCCCCTCCCCTCCCCGGGCGGACGACAAACGCGACGGGAGCACGTCCGACCTTCGTCCACGTCCACCCAGTCGTCGTCGTCGTCGTCGACCTGCGCACCATCGCCGCACGTATCCTGCGGCTGGAGCGGCCGCGCCACCAGCAGCGCCAGCGCCGAGTCCGAGCGGGAGGCGCCCGCCGCCGCCGGCGGAGAGGGCGCCGTCGCCGCCGACGCCGCCGGCACTGGTCGGGTCACAGGACAGGTCAGAGGACTCGGGTGGGACGCGGGGACGGAACGGCCAACTGCTGGGATGGGGGCAGATCAGAGGCATGTGGGGACGAAGCGGCGGGGTGGTAGGATGCAGAGCAACGCACTGGCGGGTTTGACATGAGCCAGGTACGGTTCGGCAGGATCACACTGGTACTGGACAGGTCCACGACACTGGCGGGCTGTAGAAATGCACGGGCATGACGGAAAACAGGGGCGGTCCAATGGGACTCACAGGAGCACCGCCAGTTCGTCCGCGTTAGTGAAGCGCGGCGGCAGAGCAGGGGATAGTGCACTGAGACAGGACACCGGAAGGCAGGGCAGGACTGACGACACCAAGCCCGCACACCAGCCGCAGCGGCCCGGACCCGGCCGGCGCGCGGCCGGGTCCCGTCCTCACCGTCAGTGGCCTGGCCGGCCACGGCGGCAGCCGGCGCCTCCTCGGGCGCCTCGCCCTCGGCCGGCGCCGCGCCGCCGCCGTGACCGTTGCACGCCTCGGTCGCCGCCGGCTCCAGGTCGTACGGCAGCGTCACCGTCTCGCCCACACCCGAGTGCTCCACCAGCGCCACCTCCATGTTGGCCAGGCTCTGGCGGTTCGCTGCGAGCAGAGGGAGGCTCTCACGACGGAAAGGTGGCACGGTCCGGAGGCAAACAGGGTGCTCGTGCGCAGCGTTAGGGTAGTTAGGATACAACGGCGCGGCCAGCAGCCATGGCCTCAATGGCAGCACGGCTAGGAGAAGCATGTTGTCCGCAATGCCTGAGGTAGATGGGACAGCTTGGCTCACATTAAGAATGAAGTCAAAAGCGCAAAACAACATTAACGGACAAAACATCCATTCACCGCAGCGTTTCGCGAGGACAAAACACTAGACAGCGCACGACAACGTGTTACCGGCGCAAAACAGAACGAGGCCCGTCCGGCCGCGGGTCAGCCCGAGTCAGCCATCCACCGCCCACACCACTCCACGTCGCGCGACGATCTCACACCCACGCTTCTCGCGTCCCCTGTGAGCGGCTGGCGAGAGCGATCTCACGGCAGTGCCGTCCGCCGCTCTCACCTAGTTTGGCGGCCTCGCCGTTGGCGCCGCCCTTCTGACGGTCCCGGCTCGGCTCTGAGTCGCGCTTCCGCTCGGCGACCTTCTCGGCGGCGGCGCCCACGTCGGCCGCCTCCCGGGGCGTCTCCTCCGGTGGCGTCTCCTGCCGCGGCGTCTCCTCCGGCGGCGTCTCCGCCGTGCCGTTCTCCCGCGGCGTCTCCTCGCCGTTCTCCCGCGGCGTCTCAGAGCCGTCGTCGTCGCCGTTCTGCGACGCGTCTCCGTTCTCCTGGGTGCCGTTCGTCCCGGTCGGCGCCTGCGCAGGCGTCTCTGCGGCGGCGGCGGCGGCGGCGGTCGGCGTCTCGCCGGCGGCGGAGGAGACTGTGCCGCCCTCGGCCGCCGACGCCTGCTCCTTCTCCCACTGCTCGGTGAGCTCGGCCATCTGCTCGAGGCGCTTTGCCTGCCGTTTGGCCTTTTTCTTCAGCTTCTTCTTCTTGTTCTTGGACAGCGTGGCCGGGTCGGGCTGCTGCAGATGTTTGGGCGCCGTCGCCACTGCGGAAAGAGCGACTCCGGTTACAGAGCCGCCGAAGGTGCGCAAGACAGCCCATGGGTGACACTGGTGACTGTGACATCACAAACGAGACAAGGTTAGTGGCACATCCATGCATGGCTGCGATGCCGTCGAATGCAAGCACAGGACCCTGCGCTCCACACTCCAGCTCCAACGCGGCTGCCGGACCTGTCGGGATAGCGGACCAGCCGCCACTAATCCTGCGTCGCCGCCGCCGAAAGCGCCACTGGACGCGCCGTCCGGCCGTCGCCACTCACTGAACGAGCCGGGCAGCTTGAGTCCCATCTTCTGGACCTGGGCGGCATCGGCGGCCAGCCGGCGCACGTGCGCCTCGTCCACACACAGCAGCACGTTCTCGGGCTTGATGTCCGTGTGGATGATCTTGCACTTGGTGTGCATGTAGTCGAGTCCCTCCAGCACCTGCGGCCAAACAGCGACAGCTCACACCACCGGCAGGATGAGCCGAAGGACAGCTAATAGATGGAGACGGTACGTTCAAAGTGTGTGTGGGAAGGAAGGGGGGGGAGTGTTCAGAGGAGCTAGCGCCCCCTCCGTCGGTATTTTATGTAACGTAGTGGTTTAACGGTATGGGGGTTTCGTTCTCGGCGTCCTTGCGTCACGGCCTCGATCACTCGCTCGCTGTCAGCATCCACACCGTAACATGTATGCATATATGTCCCCTCCAATCCGCGTGCTTAGTGAGCAGCCGACCACTCAGGTGGCTGGGGGGGGGGGGGGGGGGGTCAGGCCGCGGCCTCGGGCTCAGTCACCGAGCCCAACGGCTCATTCAAAGGCAGACCACGCGCGACGACTCCGTGGCGCGGGACCTGACTGACGCCGCCAGCACCCCTAGCATAGCATCGCGTCGGCCCCTTTCCAGTCGGTGCCATCTAGCGGGCGGGGATAGGTCGAGGAAAAGCCTGCCGTGGTCAGGCTTGGACCGGAGGCGAGACCCCCCACCTGCCTGACACGCGCATTAGCCAACCGCGTTACCGAGCTCATGAGCACAGGGCAGAGTATTTGCACGAAGGTCACGTGTGTAGATGTGGCAGTGCAGCCATGCTGCGCGCGTGAGAAGAAACTGCGCCCGGGGAGTTTGCTTGCAAGATGAGCGCTCTCATGACAGCGAATACCTCGAAGACAGTTTCCCCTCACGAAGACTGGGAATGTGAGACGGCCAACGTAAAAATGATTTTCCACCGTTCGCGTCCCACCACACGTCCGGCACACGCACCTGCTTTACGATGGACTTGACGTTCGGCAGCGGAATGCCCTGGTAGTTGCTGCGGATGATGAGCTTCAGCAGGTTGTGGCCCAGCACCTCGAACACCATGCAGACATGCGTGCCGTTGACGCCGTTGATCTTGAAGTCGTCGAGCAGCTGGACGGTGCGCTCCCGGAACGGGTCGCCCTCGTCGCTGTCGCGGACCTGGCGGCGGCGAGAGACGCGGTCGCATTGGCGGCTGCACCGGGCACGGCGCGCTCTCGGCAGCTGGACGGTCCAGGGCCTGCCTGCTCCAGGCAGGTGGGCTCTACGACGCCAGCAGAGACGGGACAATACCATCGCGCTGCTCACTGGCAGCCGAGTAACACGTGCTCGAGTTGGGATCTTCCGCTCGGTGGATGGAAGTCCAGACGAGGCAACATCGGCAGCCATTAAGTCACACACCTGCGATTGTGAACGAGGCCCGACAAGACGAGGAGCGTCACAAGGCCCCAGTCCCAGTCTGCGTCAGCGGACCCAACACGGCTCACCACCGGAACGGCGGACCCAAACACGGTCCACCACCGAAACGGTGGACCCCACCACGGCCCAGCGCCGAAACAGTGGACACAACACAGCCCACCACCGAAACAGCCGATCAGACACGGCCCACCACCGAAACAGCCCATCAGACACGGCCCACCCCCGAAAGAGCGGATCCAATCACAACCCACCATCGAAACAGCGGACCCCGCTACGGTCCACCGCAGAACACACAACAAAGCGCGCCGTACACCGTGCCAACCACGTGGCCTGTCTGGCGCGTCCGCTGGTCCAGCGCCAAACGGCCCCACCAGAGCGAGGAGGCGAGAGTCCGGGGCCAGAGGCTCACACGGCAGCGGTGCTGGTAGCCGGTCAGCCGGCGGCGGAGGGGGGGAGGGACTCACGCATTTGAGCAGTTTGATCTCGTCCAGGGCTGTCTCTGTGTAGTGGCTGGCACTCTTCACCACCTTCATCGCCACGAATCGCTTGTCCCTGCGGCAGAGAAGCCGTCAGGAACACAACAAATGGCATCACAAACCGGGTGAGTCATGCGCCGGTCAGCTGGTCGACTTTGGCTGCGAGGGGGGGGGGCGCTTTCAGAAGGGGTTGGGAAATGAGACGCAGTGGCAGACAAAGGCAGCATAGAGCCTCCCAGCATCCCGTTTCATAGCCGGCCAATTCAACTGATATCATCTCGTAGAGCGCCCATAGCGAACTGAAATCGCTGCTCGCATGGAGGCACACGTTGCGAACGAGTTAGCTTATGCATTCCACACACGATTCTGAAGACACGGACAGCGTAATGCGACGATATCGACGGAATATCTTCTGGGGAAAGTACCGCTATGTCACGAGTGCGTTCGGCATAAATCAAGCCTAGACCTCTCGGTGACAGTGCGTTACACCGCATGACCCCGCGACACTACGAGGTCTAGAATAGGCGTTTCCTACAAGCAGCGCGCGTAACTACGACACGTCCGAGCCGCGCTAGACGGAGGGCAGATGTCGCGGCCCACCAGCACACGTACCGGATGTCCCAGCAGAGCCAGACGGTGGAGAAGTGTCCCCAGCCCAGCTTGCGGATGACGTGGTAGCGGCCGTGGAACATGTCGCCGATCTGCACCGGGTGGTAGCCACCTGCGGGGCGGCGCGGCGCGTCAGGCTCGCCGCGCACCCAGCCGGCCGCCGGCCAGTCGGCGCCCGGGTCCAGCGGGCCGGCCTCGGCGGCGGCGGCGGCGGCGGAGACGGCGGAGACGCTCAGCGGCGGCGGGCCGGCCGCCGACCACACACACCGAGGCTGGGAGACCATCGGCGGCCGTGGACGCGCCGCCGTCGCTGGACTCGGCCGGCCCAACACCGCGCGACGGGGCAGCGGTCGGTCGGACGGCGCGGATTCGGCCCGCTCGGGGATGGGGCGCGAAGCCGCGCGGCCGGCCCGCCCGGCGTCCGCGCGGCGCCGGATGACGCTGGTCACTGGCGGCGGACCGGTGGCCCCCGCGCCGCCCCCCGCTGCTCACTCGCAGGCACTGGTCGCCGCGAGGACGGTCTGTCCCGGCCAGGCGACGCGGCCCGGGAGCGGGACGATGCCGGCTTCTGATTACGGTTGCAAAACACAGCTGACGGAGGACTGCCGTCAGCATGCAGTCCTGAGCGGCCAACGGACGGTATGAGTCAGCGCGTATAAACGGTCACGGGATGGCGCCTCCTGAGTGGAAACCAGGCTCGCTGCCACACGTCCAGCGAGGGCTGCCGTCCAATACTGGACACTTTGGCTCTGTCTTGGGGTGGAATGTAAGATTTGTCGATCTGAGATTAAAAAGCAAACCATTCACATTTTGAGGGCTACGTAAAGCCATGCGATGTCATCTAATATAATACTTGCGGAGTGCAATAACATGACGAACCAGACCTACGCATCTCATTACAGACACTACGGCGCTGCATTTAGCAGGTCACATCAGAATGAATGCACAGCTTCAGAGTAAACGACTGCAGACGATTTCACTGAAGAGACAAAATGTCGCGAGACGATTTCCGCAATAACCGCCCCCCATCAGCGGTCTCCTGCCGCCCAACCTTCCCCCATCCTCATCACCAACAATGAGTTCTAGGCAGGCTCCCCTCATCCGACACCTCTTCCCACCAGGAGCGGGAGCGATCCCGACTGTGTCCAACCCGGCGGGGTGACATCGATTTTCTATCTTGGGTGGTGCGCGCGGCCACGACAGAGAGCGGCCGCGGCGGGTCACGCCGGGCAGCTGAACGGCCGGCCACGTGATAGATCGTCTCCCCGGGCGGACACAGCTCCCGCATATCGTTCGCGGCTCCGAGCAAACACATCCCGCTATGGTATGGCCCGTCACATACCAGACTGACGCATGAGGCACGGGAGCTTCGGGATATTCCACAAAACTCGAAACAGACACCCGGCTGCGGCATGACCTGTTATACTTTGTCTATCATCTCCAGATCAGTTAACTGCATCTATCCGATGGACACATATCTGCTAGGCATGTTGCGATCTTATCTACCAGTGGTGCATCATGTCAGATTTTGCCGCCTGAAACTGCCGTAACCCGGCAGAAAGGCATCCATAATAACCATTATATCAAATACGTGGGAATATTTTAGTCCCAGCGTTTTCTGTCCAATCGAGACATTAGCGACCAACCTGTTACAATATGTCAAATATTATCAAATATAAAAATTTGACTGGCTGCACGGTCAAAATATGTGGCGATAATCAAATTATGTCAAAATTTGCGATGATCGTTGAATAAAGCATATGAAGTGCGAACCCACGCTCTTTGGCCATTAACTATGCATCTTAATGAGCCACTCTCCTTTTACAATCGCTTTTAATGAATGTCCACTACAAGATGTTGATACATTATCGAGGAGTTAGTAATGTCCAACGATATGCAAGGAAAAGGACAGATAATAAGGAAAATCAAATCTGCTTCAAGTCCATAGGTGGCAGTGCCTCAAAGCCCGTGTACAAATACAGTGCGAGCTCCCAATTCAAGTGTACGTCACTTTGCTATCACACAATGACGTATCGCAGGGCATATCTACTAAATACACGATTTTTGTTGTCCAGAGCAGTTTTTCCGCCTTTAAAGTACGCCCATAGCTAAAAGTGAGCTTATTACATCAACTCTGATGTTTTTTTCAATATCTTCAAATGTGAAACATCCCCTTCAATTAATGATTTAAGCTTACAATCCTCGGCAAAGTGGTGGTTTACAGCTTATGAAGCAATGCGCTGCGATTCAAACACAGTGTCAGTTGCAGTTTCGCTTTGACACTTGCCAGTGGACGTGCGTGTGCAGCGAGCGGCGTTCTGGTCCGAGGAGCCGGGCTTGACAAACGCACGCACTAGTTCCAATAAAAACAAGCACCTCGACGGGGCAAGGGTGGAGACGACCGTCACCAGGTCTGTGCGCTCCAGCCGCCCTGGTCCGGGGCGAACAGCCCTCAGGCACGACGTCCCCGATCGGTACCAGAGAAACAAGGACCCTCAGCTACACCCCGCGCCGCGGCCGAGCGCGCGCACTCACCGGGCTTGTAGTCGGACGGCGCCTCCTGTTCGTCGTCATCCGAGCCGAGGATCTCCTCCTCCTCCTCCTCCTCTTCCTCATCGCTGGGCACGCTGTCCTTCTCGGAGACGCTCGTCTCCGTGCGGGATGACTCGGTCCTGGAAGAGCGGCGGCGGTGGCATGAGAAGGCGGCGGCGGCGGCGGCGGCGGCGGCGCGGGAGGAGGCGGCGGCGGCGCGGTAAGGAGGAGGATGCGGCGGCGGCGGCGGCGGCGGCGCGGTAAGGAGGCGGCGGCGGCGGCGCGGTGAGAGGGCGGCAGCGGCGGCGGCGCGGTGAGGGGGGCGGCGGGGGTGTGGTGAGGGCGGCAGCGGCGGCGGCGCGGTGAGGGGGGCGGCGGGGGTGTGGTGAGGGCGGCAGCGGCGCTGAGCCGGGGACGAGCGCCAGGCGAGCGGACGACGCCACACGTACCATACGACCGACCGGCGTGGACTAGACAGCAACGGGATGAACTAGCATAACGTTGAATACACGCTAAAATAACCGACGCATTCCACACGTAAGACGCCTTATAACTAAGCATGCAAAGCCAGTGTACACGCACATTTCCTAGACTCTCCAGCACGTTCACGACAGCTTCAACGACAAAGCCCAATCTGATACCGTTTGCCGTTAGAAGGTCGCGAAACGTTCGCCTCCCACACGGACAATATCCGTCGGTTTAACCCAAAACACACCATACCAGCACTCCCCGCGGTGCTAGGTGAACCCGGGCGGTGGAAACAGAACAGAGCCCAAACAACAGCGGCATGACGACAATCTCCCATTGAACATGACGACAATCTCCCAGGCACACTGTCGGCCCGGGGCGTAGCGCAATCGCCTGTGAATCCGAGGGCCTCTCTACACGCCCCCCCCCCCCCCCCCCCCGCCAAGCGTCTAAGCGTCGCGCACACCTTCGGGCAGCGCACGCCGCCGTGTTTACCAGGCCGGCGGCGAGCGAGCACGCTCCGATCAGCGCCGGGCGCGCCCCGATCAGCGCCGGGCGCGCGCCGACCAGCGCGCGCCCGGCGCCCCTCGCTGTTAGTGTTGAGCACATGGCGGGGCCCGGGTCGGCTGCCGAGCGTCCCGAGCACGGCACCAGGCAGCCGCCGCGCCGTGCAAACACCATGGTAACCCGCGGCGTGACGGAACGCCGCCAGCCGGCGTGCCGGCCGAAATCGGGGGACGAGACGGCCACAGCGCCCGGGGGCGACTCCGCGCGGCGGGGGAAGGCGCGGGGAGGGGCGGGGCGGGGGCCGCCACGTGGAGCCGGCGGAGAGCTGCAGCCGCCAAACAGGCACTGCTGCAGCGGCGGAGCGAGGCGGGGCTCTCGAAGGGTCGAAAGCCCGGCTTTCGTGCCACCCGATGGTGGCCCCCGGTCCCGAAGCCAAGGGCGCGCACCAGCATGCCTCGGAGAGCTGGGTCACTCACGAACTTCACCACAAGCATCTCGAGCACTGCACTGCCAACTGCACGCCTCACTCCTGGGACGCGTCCACCACTCCGAACACAACACACTGCCGCCAGCTCCCGCCCCGCCGCCGCGGGTCCCACGCCACCGCCGCGCGCCACGGCGGCCGCTCACCCACCGGCACACGAAGTGGGCGGGCTGCCAGAGGGCCAGGGCTACCCGGCCGACCAGCCGGAACATGCCGCCCTCGACCGGCCGGCGGCGCGCCCCTCCGGCCGGGGCGGGCCGCGGCCGCAGACAGGCGGCCGCCGCCCGCCCGGCCGTCTGTTGACACGTCCGCTCTGGACACCACACGCGCACGGACACACGCGCGTGCGCGCCGGGATGCGCGAACGCCCGCGCGCCGATGGTGTCCGCCGCTTGGGTGAAGATCGGGCCAGGCGCCACGTGGACGCGTACCGGAGAGGTCAGTCTTGGATGGCGCGGGATTTCGGCCGGTTGTCAGCACGAGATTCACCGTAAAGGGGAAATGGTGAGGTATAAATAAGCCAAGTCCAAACAATTATGGAAAGACAAAGGCATAAATGCAAATCGATTGGGGTTGATCTATTGGGGTATCGATCTGACTCACCGTAAGCGAATGAAAGGTAGGCTAAAGAACAATATAAAGCCTCGAAATGCATTGCTTCGCAACGAGACATGACGGCAGGAAACATTTTGTGAGTTCATGTCTGAGGCCGCAGAATGTATATAAGAATCGAGGTCCGAGGTAAGGGAAGAAAAATGCCGCGTTCATGGAAAACTGGAAGAAAAGCTCCCCGAAACCATTGCAGATGTCGCGAGTTGAAATGTCAGCCTTCCTGACGAAGACTACCGCGAACATCACATCTGCCAGAGTATGGCGCCCAGATGAGATGAATTCACAAAAAGCCAAGCAAATGCGACGCAGACACGTAAAAGATACCTGAAAGCTTGAATCATTCAGGCGTGCGTCACACACGGCCGATTCATAGCAGTGTTGCCGCGCTCACACTGCCGGAGTGCACTCTTGCGCCACGTCGCGTTACCCAGAATCCACACGGGCCACCGCAGCTGCAGATGGCAAACTCATACTGGACTAGCATCAGCTCGCGCAGGTCATAAGTACTGATAGCATGGCAGAGTGGTGTCCGGCAACTGACGAAAGTGTTATCCCTGACGTCGGGATCACACGCAGAGAAGCGCATGCGCTCTCAACGACAGTTGTGTGACGGAAAATATTCAACCAAGGTGCGCTAGGGTGCGATCAGCAGGTCGTCAGGTTAGGTCAAGACCACTAGTTCATGACGACGATAACCTTTTGTGCTTTAGGACTCGCGAACTACCCCGGTCATAGCGCTATTTCGGCAAGTGTAACACTTGGCGGCGGCGGCGTCCGGGCCCAAGCGACTTCGTCTATCTGGTGCGGCACTGCCACACTAGACACTATCACACTAGACGACCACGGCGGTCGTCTGCAGCACGCCGTCATCAATCACCTGAAATCGCATTCGCCAGGCTCGCGTTAATTCTCCCCCACCGAACACGAGGCCAAGGCCGCCCTCCGCCAGCGGGTTTGCAGACTTCCGTTTACACGTCAGCCGCCCGTTTCGGAGCTGGGCAGCTCCGACGCCGGCGGGCCGACGCCGACACGGGCGCGCCCGCGTCCGCAGCCGGCCGCGCTGTGTTCCGGCAGGCCACTGAAGGCGCCGGGCCGGACGGGCCGCGCAACAGCGCCGGGGCCGGCGCCGGCCGTCAGCACGGCACGATTCGGGTGGGCGGCCTGTTATCGCCAGCAGCCACGCTTACAGTTACTAATGAAGGCAATTTGTAGACACGCGTCAGCCGGCTGCGGCGTGGACGCCACAGCCTCAGCAGGAGCAGCGGCGATGGAAACTTTTCGAGATTTCCAACCAAAGGTTTGGTGCTCAGTGCAGCCTGAATCGATTACCAGTATCTACCTAATCTGGCACCGGCCAGAGACCTGCGGCGAGCCAGAGATGAGCATAGTGATGACAGGCAAAAGCGTCACCATTACGGAAATCCTACCAAAACGCATGCAAGTGTGGCCGGTCATCTTCTTGAGAGCATCAAACGAATAGATCTGCCAATGCAATGAAATACGTGACTTGAGAATGTTACGCGGATGGAGGTGCCGTGATGCTCTGTGCTTGCGCACAAATTTACAAATTTTGTCGCTTGAGTTTGTGCTTGAATCTGTATTCGCTGGCGTGGGGCCTGCTTCCTTTACTTGACAAAATCGAGGGACTAGGACAGGCATAGTTTTTGGCGATGGCAGCCAGATAATGGAGACGCTAGCAGAGTGTGCACATATACCTACATGCATATATACAAACACACGCACACACATATATATATATATATATATATATATATATATATATATCGTTCGAGATCTGAACGTGCTGTCGACATGTCCTTGCAGCTTTTTCGCAATATAAACGTCTTATGTTCTTCACGGTAAACGAATGGAGAGGTGAAAATATGGTGATGTTGCACTATTGCGGGAAAACCCTGCCTGATCAGCTTGTGTGTTCAAATGTCTTGATAAGGTTACCGCACAACGGCTAAAGAACTGTGCTACATGTTGCTGAGGGCTAGCTGCCAATATGACCGTGGCTGCGAAAATAGAAGCCCGTCAAAAGCGTGATCGACATGGCGAGCTGGGAGGCTGAAGCTACACAATCTCTGATTACTTTACGTTAGACCCACCCTGCCTCCGCCTCCCCCCCCCCCCCCCCCTTCCTCCGTAACTCATCCGACCATCCATGTCTGTTGACAGATACATAATGCATGACGATGGTGGAGCTTCTTTAAGCCTAGCACCACAACTGCCGCACCCCATTCAAACGTGTTAATTACGGCTGCACAAAGCACGCCTCAGACTTCATTGAGAGGGTTAGTGGCGATACAAAAACAGCCCATCTCAGCCAGCTGAGCGCCGGCTTGTGGGCACATGGCCCAAGTGTTGGCCGTCAGAGCAGAGCCCGGCGATAAAACGGCGGCACGGGGCCGGGCGGCGATGGCCCGGCCGGTGGCGTCATCTCAGTCACAGGCCACGTCACGCCGCTGGGTGTTCACACCGGTGGGTCGGGTTTGGACACCCGATGAGCTGGCGTCTCCCGGAGCCCCTCAGCCGGCGGCGAACCACAGCGCCGCGCGGCGCCGCCATCACCGCGTACCGCCCGCGCAGGTGAGGTCTGCCGCCGCTTCCCGTGTGGCCACGAGAGACGCCGGGCGAGGTCGCCCGCTCGCTCGCTCGCGCCCGACGAGCGAGCGGGCTCACGTCCCCGGAAACGGGCGTCGACCGACCCCATAAAGCCGGCAGTCGGACGGCAGCAGAGCCGGCGGCCGCCACCGCGGCCCGGCTGATCAATAGACCCGCGGCGTCTGTCCTCCGCCGGTGGGCACCCCGGCTCGGTCCGCCCCAGTGGCGATGCAGACCTGGGACTGACCAGACGAGAGGAGCACACCAGGAGAAGACCTACCTGATGGTGGGCGTCGCCGGCTCTCCCCCGCCGCCGCACCGGCCCGCGGCGTGCGGCCCGGCCGCAGCAGCCCGACCCGGGGCCCACTCCGTCTCCGGCGGCCGCACTCCCGGTGCCACCTCCGCCGCTCCCCCTGCCCGCCGCGCCGCTCCCACCCGGGCCGTTGAGCCCCGGCGGGGCCG